AAAGGACATTCTTGGGGGGGAGGGGAGAGAGGGAGGAGGGAGGGAGGTGTCGGTGATGGGCCATAATAATCATATACATTGTATATTGACAAAATAAAAATTTAATGAAAAAATAAATAAATAAAAATAATAAATTAAAAACAAACAAAGAAACAAAAATACCCCAAATCTATCTTCTCTTTGACGTTTATAATGATTTCCCCAAGTAGACTTATTATCCTTTTTCTTTGGTTCTCACTCCACTTTGAATTATAAAAGTATGCTAATCAATTATGACACTGCATTGCAGTTGTTTGTATGTGTTTCTTTTTCCAGATGGTAGGTTTCCCTGCAACAAGAACTGTGTGTATTCCTCTTTGTATGCTTAGTACTAGTGTATTGTCTGGCAGGTAATAGTGCTTCATAAGTTCTTGTTGAAAGAAAGATTGGACCTTCCCTCAACATTTGTCTTAGTCTGTTTGGGCCATGCTATAACAGATTACCTAGACTGGGTAGTTTACAAACAACAGATATTTATTTCTCACAGTTTTGGAGGCTTGGAAGTCCAAGATCAGAGTCCTGGTAGATTTGGTGTCAGGTAGGTGTCTGGTTTATAGATGGATGTCATCTTTCTATGTCCTCTTGTCATGCAAGGGGTGAGGGAGCTCTCTGAGACCTCTTTTATAAGGGCTCTAATCCCAATCCTGAGGGTTCTGCCCTTATGACTTAATTATCTCCCAAAGACCCCACCTCTTAATACCATCACATGGGGGTTAGGATTTTAACATATTCATTTTGGAGGGACACAGACATTCAGCCCATAACAACAGTGAAACAGCTTCCACAGTCATCCCAATTTTAGATATTTCCTCAAGACTAGAGCAGACTTTGTCTTGATGCTGTGTTTGCTTTTATCTTCTTCCTGGTTTTTGTGCAGATATTCCTGGACATATTCAAAGGGAGAGGGCCTAAGAGAGAGGTGTTGGAGATACAGGCCTATCAGGTCTGACTGAATCTCTTTAGTCAGTCATTTTTCAGGACTAGGGACACATTTCCAGTTGGATGTGTAGGAAACAATATGAGCTATGAAAATAAAGGGTATTGAATGCTATCATCAGTTTTCCCCCGAGGCCCAGTCAAGAAGGTCTCTGCTCTCAACATAGAGATTTAAAGTGTCCTTCTCTGGCTGGGACCCTACCCATGAGACCAGGAGTCATAGGTGCCAAGGGGATATGCCAACCTGTTCTGGACTATGCCACGCTCCCCTTTTGCTTTTCCACTGTGCTCTGGCCACTACTCAGGAGAGCTGCAGGTACAGCAGTTCTTCTGAGAAGAACTAGATTTCCAGTATATCAGGAAGGAGAGGGGATCATGCAGAGGAAAGGAAGACGATATAGGGGATTTTGCTGACAAACGACCATGACTTCTTTAACAAAACTGGATGTGCATGTGGAGAAGGAGGCTAAGTCAGGATTGGTAGAGCTGCATGTGAGAGTCAACATCGGGTAATGGAAGGTGATCTGGGAAGTCTTAGGCTTCCTGTGGTGGCCGAATATGAATTTTCATTACTGAAAACTTTATTGTTATTTTTTAATAACAGCATTAAAAAAGACCAGGGAAAACCCAGGAAATTGGCAAGAAAACTGAGTTATGAAGCTGAATATATTAATTTCCTGAAGAATCTGAAGGAGATTCTAGAAATCTCTGAGGACCGCACATATGCTGATGTCAATGCACTACACACGGAGATCATGAAGAATGGCTCGGTACGTCAGAAACTTAAAATACTTTCTCAGTCATGACGTTTTTTGTTACAGTGATTATTTAATATCTTTGGACACTGTGTAAAATCCCTATTAGAAATTACTCATTTGTGTAATATCTTTGAAATATTATTTCCGTGTATTATTTTGTTTGCTTTATGGTGATTACCCAAATTTGATATGCTAAAGTTCTATAGGTGATTTTTTTCTTGCTCAGTAGTTTGCCTCATGTTTTATTTCACTCTACTGTCCTGGGTTACTATATGGCCTGATTCTAGAATCCAGTCTCACATGCTATATTTTAATGCTGGTCACATTTGGGTATGTGTGGTACAATATATTTTAGATCATATCTACTGAAAAATCTCAATTTCAAAGGTCTTTGGTATAACATCCAAGACATTCCATTAAACAGATATAGAATTATCCAAAGATGATATGGCATTTAAACAATTTTTTATCATTCAAGTAATTCATGTTTATTGCAGAAATATTTGAAAATGCAAAATAACAAAAATAAAAGCAATGTCACAGCTCAGAGAGATATTCATTGCCATTCCAGATTTATTTTTTTCTCGAACATACCCCCACCCATATAGACATTCCATATATTTAATTATTTTAATAAAATGGGGCCATATTATACAAATTAGTCTGTAAGCTACTTTCCTCACTTACCTATTTATTTCTTGTTAATAACAAAAGTGAAACATTATTATCTTAGTGGATTCCTGGTGTGTATTTATGTGGATAAGTATAAATTTATGTAATCAGTCATCTCTCCCCTGGCTACATAGGTTATTTTCATTGCTTTTTCTTGTTACTATAAGCAGTGTTTACCTTTAACATCTTTGCTAACTGCTAGATTTTCTCCTTAGGGTAAATTCTTAGGAGTGAAATTGTGAGGGTATGAACATTTTTAAAGCTTTGGATATGAGTTGTGATTGACTCACAGTGGGGAGTAAGAATTCTCTGATCATCTAAGGTAGGAAACCTGCTTTGCCTTCTTGGAGAAGTCTCTCTGTCCAAGAGAGAATGACTCCTAAAGTTCCAGTTGAGAACTAGTCTCCCGTCTCAGGCAGCAGCAGATTGTACACTCACCTGTTGTGGACATTTGATCTATTGCTTTAACAGAACCTTTCCCCCTTCTGCTTATGACTGTCTTTTTGAGATAGTCTGTTCAAAAAGATGGGAAGATTGCTTCTGGAGTCATCCAATACTTTTCTTTCTTATATAGGTTCAGGGTCAAAGAGCAGCCTCACTGTGTGCAAGGTATAAATGACTTGTTCATGAAAATATCCTTTGATTCTGATTAAACTTAAAATTAAATAAAATATACGATCAGTTGTTCTACACTTCTTTCTTGTTTTAGACTTTGAACAAGGTGTTTCAACGAGTACAATCAACAAGAAAAGGTGAAGAACTGAAGGCGTTAGCCCAGAGGGGAATTGGATATTATCACGACTCCATGTATTTTAAAGAAAAAGAGTTAGTTGAGATACTCTTCATGAAAGGGTTTATCAGGGTAGGTAATTTTTTTTTTTTTTTGCATTATGCATAGAAGAGGCTGAATATCAGTGAAAAGTGAAAAATTATTGCATTTTCTCATCTAATATGAGCATCTTTTTCTAACAAACTCGACTGCTGCTCCATCTATTCTATTTATTAGAGGATTTTAAAAATTATTTCTACTTTGAAAAACAACATATATAATAAAATATCGTATCTATGGTAATTTAGGTATAACCTTCTATGTTTCATCCCTTAGTGCCTAGAACATCTCCCTTTCAGTTTTACTCAATATTTTTTTTTTTTTTTTTTTTGTCTTTTTCGTGAACGGTAAGGGAATCTCAACCCTTGGCTTGGTGTCGCCCACACCACGCTCAGCCAGTGAGCGCACCAGCCAGTCCTGTATAGGATCCGAACCCACGGCGGGAGCGTCGCTGCGCTCCCAGTGCCACACTCTCCCGACTGCGCCATGGGTGGGCCCTTTACTCAATATTCTTAAGGCTATTTAAGATATGCTTTTGGGGCCGAGCCCGTGGCGCACTTGGGAGAGTGTGGCACTGGGAGCGCAGCGACGCTCCCGCCACGGGTTCGGATCCTATATAGGGATGACCGGTGCGCTCACAGCCCTCACTGGCTGAGCGTGGTGCGGCCGGTCTCAAAAAGGACAAAAAAAAAAAAAAAGAGTGTGGCACTGGGATCACCGAGGCCGCGGGTTCGGATCCTATGTAGGGATGGCTGGTGTGCTCACTGGCTGCATGTGGTGTGGACCACACCGTGCCGAGGGTTGAGATCCCCTTACCAGTCAAAAAAAAAAAAAAAAAAGATATGCTTTTGGTCAGACTTTTCTGATGTCATACTTTAGCTAAGAGAAAGACATACATTTTCCAGGAGTCGGAAAAACTTGTCCTAGATTAACATGTTCTAGGCAGAGTTTATAGATGTGGCATCTCTAAATGAACTTGGAAAAGGATAAGGAAATCTTAGCTGGTTCATAGTCAAACACTTGTTAGCTTTTTGTTAATATGTCTTGGAAGCATGCAACATTCTATTTCTAGGTGGTGATAGTCTCCATAAATGCACCAAGAATATTTCTATGATTACCTAGTCAATTTTCTTTTTCAGCGATTTGAAAAAATAGCCACCAGATTTATTGCTTGCATACACATGTGTGTGTCCGTGTGTGAAGAGTTGTGTACAAACGCAGTTATTCTGCTATTCAGGGTATTTATCTTTATAATCTTAAGAAAAGAATAGTGAGGAGTATTGGATATCATTAATGAAAGTTATTTCTTGCTATTTATCAAAACAAAATATCATGAACAACTCTGTTCAATATTCATATATGTATATATGTGTATAATTTATCATTTTAAAGGTCAAGAACAAGAGAAAACAGTTGTAAGGATTATTAATTGAAGACAAAGGTCACATATTTTGTTCATCACACCCCGTAATATAGACCTTGTTACATAGTAGTTGCTCAAGAAAAGTTAATGAGTGAGTAATTGAGTGAATGAATGAATAACCAGACTATTATAATAGGTTTATTCTGGAAATGGTGGTATCTTTGCTACACAGAACACATCTTTAAAATGGTACTTATTATAGTTAAATTCTAAATTTTAGTGAATTGAGTCTTTCTTTTTTATTGGTGAACTTTTTAAGATGAACAAGTAATGGGTTGAATTTAGATGGGCTTATAAATATCAATTAGAAAGTCTTTTTGCTTATTCTTTATCATTAAATAATTAAAATAATTAAGGCACAAGTTAATATCAACGTATTTGAGAGGAAGAGAGGGCAATTATATACATTCAGCACTAAATAGGTGAGTGGGTGCATAGCTGATGATATGAAAAGTAAATAAACGAAGAAGTGTAACTTTATTATGCTTCAGTTAATTAGATCAGTTATCTATATTGATAAAACCTCTATAAGCACGAGGGTAGGGGAAGGTGGTTGTCCAGAGTGTGTGAGGAATAGTGTTATTGTCCCATCTTAAGGAAATTCGTGAGCTAGTTGTACATTCATGCATTAATTGATTGAACACATGTTTATTGTGCATCTACCATGTGCTCAGTCCTCTCCCGGCTGCTGGGGATGCAGCAGTGACTAAGGCAGATCAATGCCCCGTCCTTATGATACTTAAGGTTCAGGAGGGAAAGTAAACATGGTTCTTTTAAGAATTGTTTTCCAAGAAGCGCTTTTTTTTTTTTCCTTTTTGTCTTTTTTTCGTGTCTGGCAACGGATCACAGCCCTCAGTGTCGCGCCCGTACCGGACCGGGACCGGCAACGGGATTGCAACCCTCGGTGCTGCGCCCGCACCTTGCTCAGCCAGTGAGCGGGAACCGGTCTGTATGTGGGATCCGAACCCTCGGCGGGAGCGCCACCGCACTCCCAAGTGGCACACTGTAGCAGTGCGCCACCGGGCTGGCCCCCCAAGAAGCGCTTTTTGACATATATGTAGAGATCATAAAGAATCTGTAAAGGAAGGTTTTTGGAAAGCCATTGTAGGTGAATCAGACAGCAACAGTTAAGGCACTGAAGTACTTTATACAGTGTGCTTTGTGTAGTCAGGAAGTAGCAAGAACAGTGTGGTTAGTGAGTCAGCTTTAATAACGTGGTTTATTGAAATTCAAAGAGTTTTTTGGTAACTGGAGCAGAAAATATATCTTGTGTCCTTATACGTATGCTATATTTTGAATTAACTCTTTTTCCTTTTTTGCTAGGTTGTGACAGCCACTGGAACACTTGCCTTAGGAATCCACATGCCGTGTAAATCTGTTGTTTTTGCTCAAGACTCAGTCTATCTAGATGCTTTAAATTACAGACAGGTAACTGCGACTCCAGATGCTGAAAGATGAGAAGTGAGATAATGTACTGTGTGGCACTTTCATGTGCTAACAGGCTGCAGTTTATTCTTCCTTTTATTTCCTATGTGACATAACATTATTGTCCAGTTACCTCCTATCTTGTCACTTCCTGCCATGTGATTTATCTGCTTCAGTATTTTCACATAGTCAGTGTTAAAAGATTTAGTTTAGTGTAGTTTTTAATATTTTTCTTGAGAAATATAGAGCTGTTTTTATTCTAGATTATTCATGATACACCTTTATTTTATTTTTCTGGGAATGTGTAAAATGTTCTGAAATTTCTTGCATCATTTGTTGCCTTTAATTTGCCTTTCTCTACATATGGTACTTAGTATCAACAATTCCTGGAGGAATTCCTGGGGATTATGTCATTTAAATCAGGTAGGATTTGACTTTCTTACTGCAAGGTTAGCACTGAGTACTTTGGGATCATTTACCATCTATTTTCTGAATTCCAAAATTTCATTACTGTTCACTTTCCTGTGTGGATTTATGCTTAAAAAATAAATTTTTATGGTCATTGTAGTGAAATTTCTGGAGGGAAAGATGTTACTTGGATATCTCTAAGTTAACTTTTAAAAAATCAAGAATATGTTCTGTATCATAGGGCAAGGGATGAAAGAGAGATAAGTAAAAGAAGGACAAGGTTGAGAGTGAGAGAAAGCAAAATAAAAGAGAAAGGCTATGCGACAGAGACATAGAGACAGATAATGAAAAAGATGTTATATTTGAGCATCTTCTCATTTCCCTTATGACACAGAAATGTGATATCATATATTGCAAGTAAAAAACCACCTCACCTCCACACACTGCCAAAAAAAAAATGACAAATATATTTGCAGTCTCAAAATGTAAATTTTTTTCATTTTGCTTATTCTTCAATTTTTTCTTTTCTCATTTAAATAGAGATCATGTTAACTCTCCCAGATTGGAATGAAAAGATTGTAATTTTACAGAGAAATGGAGTTTATGTCCAATTCATGGCCTTTTAGAATATTGCTGTTTAAATTTTAAAAGCCATGTTGCGCATTTCTCAAGTATAGCTATGGACCGTATTGACTTTTGGCATGTGCTATTTGGGCTGAGAAACAGGAAGTCCAGCCCCTGAGCTGGAATTTTCCAGCCTTGCTCTTTTTGTGCAGTGAGTGAAGTTTGTCTTAAGGGCCTTCCGCTTCCCTTTAGAATTATAGTCCCTTTTTTTCTCTCTTCCTTGCCAAAATCTCTTGCTTGGAAGAAATTCAAGATTGTTCGTTTACTATGGACCTTAATGTGAACGGAATTACATTATTATTCTACCCTGGTGATTTGGCATTATCTCCAAGGAGAGAATAAAATATCTTCTCTTTCTGAGTGTATTTTGTTTGCTTCTGGAGGGTCAGGTGGCAGACCTTTCTGGGAACTTAAACCTTGAACTTACACCCCGGAACAACTACCTAGTCTTCCCATGTGCGAGGTTGTCTCTGTTTAGATGTATGCAGTTAAATCAGAAAACTTTGACCACATTTCCAAATTTTTTACAAGTTATCTATAAGGATGTGTTATACAATGAGAACTAGAAAATGTTAGTTCTACTGCTTGCATTTGAGACCACTTAACATTAACCATACAAAAATATTTCAAACAGTTCTGTTTCATCATGATCCTATATCTAGTCTTTGGTTAGTTGAGTCAATATTTTGACTTCATGTCAGAATTTTGACACATCTCCCAAGTAAAAGTAAACATTCACTTTGTTTTATATTTAAAGTAAAGTTTAAAAAAATGAAAATCCACCTGTGAACTTATGTTTCTCACTCAACAACTGAGTTATTATTTAGAATATGTATGCCAATAGATACATCAAATCATGCACACAGACCACAGGGAATATCTGAGATCCAGTCTCCAAAGCTGGTTCACTAGGATCTTACTCCAGTTTACTTTGTCCAGTTCTATTGCAATCTTGTTTTTTCTCTAGATCTGTTCAACATCTGATGTAAAACTGTACCTCTTCCTTCCTTTTGGGCTCAGTGTTTTTGCACTTTCTTTTGTAGAGGAATCTAGTCTCTTGAGAATTAGGTAACACAAACCACTGAACTATGTATTATATAATAGCACCATAAAGCAAATAACATGTTTCATTGTATTAATTTTAAAAATTTTATGGGTTTTCTGCTAATACTACATTTTCTCCTTTTAGTCTTTCTATTTTCTGTCTTAAAAAAATCATTTATTCATGCATTCAGATGGCATTCATTATTATGAGCCTAATATGCTCCATGGTCTGCTGCTACATGTCTTCCTCATGTCACTCAACTGCCCACAGGACTTTATTGCCTGTAGAATAAAGGGAATGCTTGTTAGCTTTGCTTTCCCTTCAAGAAATTGCTTTTCCTCAATATTCAAGGAGAGAGGATAATATAAGACTGTGAACAGCAGGAGTCTGTGAACATTAGGATCACTGAGAGCCACTGAGAAAGCTGCCTACCACGGTCTGCCCACAGTCTGGGCTCCCATGAGTGACAAAACATTCACTAGCTACCAGGGTCTCCAAAAGTCTCATTCTGATCATAAGCCTGGGGCTGCTTTAGTTATCAGAATGCCCTATTGTTATCACGGTCTGTGGATGTCCTCTCCTGGGCTTTCTCATCACCATGTCAGTGTTGCCTCGGTTCTGCCTACTTTCAGCCCAACCTGTGGCCCTGCCCCTCTCCAGCTATGAGTGCTGTGCCATCGTGCTGGTGGCCTGGCTTAAGTCTTGCCTCAGGTACCCCTGCCCTGGATCCTCAGGGCACATTTGAAGGGTTGTGTGTAATGCTTATGACAGTGGGGTCTAGCCCTAAATTCCCTAGGCTTAAATTCTTGTTTTACAATGTTCTAGCTGTGCAAACTCAGGTAAATTAGCTAACCTCTCAGGGTGTCAGTTTCTTCATCTGGGAAATGGTGACAATAATTGTATTCCATAAAGTTGTTATGAGGACTAATTGAAAATTGTAGACCACTCAGAACTGTGCCTGGTACACAATAAGTGCCCAGTAAATGCCAGCTCTCATTAGAAGGGCCCTTTGCATTTTGACCACCATGTGTTTATCACCTGTTCTTTCCCAGCGTGAGCCCTCAGGCACAAATTGTTTTAGTAATTGACCACTGGTTTCTGCTATGCCTTGTTTATCTGAAGCTTTGTTGTGTGCCTTCCTCTTGGAGAATCTTCCTTCTCTTGCCTGATTGAAATCCTAGCCCCTCTTCAAGGTTATAAATGAACAGTCCTTATTTGTTTTCTTTGGAGTCTTCCTTGATTCCCCACCTTTAGGGAAATATGATTGCCCTTGTTCTTTCACTGTTCCTGCTATTTATTCTTGTAAATTCCATGAGGGGATTTGTACCTCTAATAGGAATTTTCAAGAGATGACACTGAGATGCTCAAGGTGTTTGTGGAACTGGTCATTTCTTCTCTATAATGTTCACACCTTGGCATCCATCTACAGCAGGCTGTCATTTTCAGCTGTGGTTATAATGGAAACTGTTATAATAAAAAGTGTGTGGGTGTAGGGTTAGGTGATTATTGCTCACCAGATGTGTGACCTTGGGTGAGATATCTAAACTGCTGGATCCTCATTTACTACCTGCACAGTGGTGGTGGTAATCACTACCCTATTGGATTTGGAAGGATTAAATGAAGTAGGGAAGAGACACATTGAAGGTGCTCAATAATCATTCCCTCACTCATTCACCACGCACACACCTTTTTACTCCAGAGTTATCATTAATGTTTCCCTCTCCTTTGCTTCTGATAGTCATTCTATTAGAAAGACCACCCCATTATTCTCCTGTAGTGGCCTGGCAGATTTCTGTCTCATAATTTCTGTAGCCAGCATCTTCCATCCTTCATTCTTTTCTAGGGTCTATTATAACAGTCTCCCTGGTTACCCTTTCCCCATACTCTATTCAGCGCTCCAGATGACTGATAGCGTAGTTTTTCTTCATGATTTTCCTGCTCACGAGTATTTGGTGACTAATTCTACCCTAGGATCAAATGTAAAAGTGTCGGCAGTTGTCAAGCCATTTATCAACAAGTTCCTTTTCTCTGTGTGTCTAAAGTGTCTATATTGTTATGCTCATGAACATTTGTCCTAATCAATCTAGTCTTCTTACTATTACCAGCAATTTTACTATTCTCTGTCTTCTTGCCTCTTGCTGCCACGCTGCATGAATTGTCCCCCATGGGATCTTCAAGAATCTCATTTTTTAGGATTTCAGGCTAATGTCATCCTTAGGAACACAAATTTGGTCGTAAAGTGTCAGGATTTGAATCTGCTACTTCTCAGTTGTTGGATTGAGGATAAGTTACTTAGGTTCTCTGTGCTCATGTTCCTCATCTTTAAGTGTGGAAACAACACTATCTACTTCACGGGGTTGTCATGAGGACTGCCTAAAATTAATTTAAATAAAGGGCCTAGTACATACTAAGCATTTAATAAATGACTGTTCTTTCTTCTTAGTTGATTCTTGACATACTTCTTCCAAGAAGCCTTTCATGATCTTGTCTTACTCAGTGAATTTACTTGATCTATGTCTCAAGGAGCCCAGGAACACTGTTTTTATTTTATTATCTTTATCTGTAGTTTCTAATTGTATTCATTTATCTCTGTGCTGAGAGATAGAGAAAGAGGGATGGACTGTAAGTTCTTTGAGAGCAAAGTGCAGTTGTAATTTCATTTTACATGTTATTTTACACTGCCGAGTTCAGTTGTCTGAATCATGTGGGTACCTGTTAATGATACATGCCTCGTTTTCCATTTTGCCCCACCCATGCTGAATTTTATAAATACCACAACAACATAGATTAGTTTCAGGACTTCATGCACAATTTACTTTAGCCAATTCAGGATAATAAACATAAAGTCATAGATCTTTTACCTTCATAGTAAATTATTTAAGGAAGTTTTACATTATGATTCTATTTGGTTTCCAGATGTCTGGTCGTGCTGGAAGACGAGGTCAAGACCTGCTGGGAAATGTATATTTCTTTGATATTCCATTGCCCAAAATTAAAAGACTCATCACATCCAATGTTCCTGAGTTGAGAGGACAGTTCCCTCTCAGCATAACCCTGGTCCTGCGACTTATGCTGCTGGCATCCAAGGGAGGTGACCCAGAGGATGCCACAGCCAAGGTACAGTGCTGGACACTGTCTGACGTTCAGCCTTCATCATTGGCCTGGCTGTGGTTGGGTCTGCTGTTCTTTTAGAAGTCTGTAGTGGTAACTCTTCAGTTTCATCAGTCTTTTAATGCTTTGTATTTTCATAATTATTATATGTTTATTGGGGGCAGGAAAAAAAATAATTATTTTTATTTTGTTTTACCACCAGAGGTCGCATTCAGGGCACTAAGAATTACCCAGGCTTATTTGAGTGTGTGAGAAACAATGCAGCACAGTGGTCAAGTATTGGCTATAGACTCCTAAATGTCTGGAATAGGACCCTGGGTCAGCCATTTACTGACTGTTTATGCTTGATTTGTAGTAAACATGTAAATATTAGCCATCATCATTATTAGTCTCGGTTCTTGTGTTTTTACTTTATTTTATTTTTTTGCTTTAGTCTTCTTTATAGAAAAGAATGGGAAAAGCAATTTGCTGACTTCATCCTTTCTAAATGTTGTTTTAATAGTTCCTTTATAAAGGAGATCAAGTATAAGTTAGAACTGGTAATAGAGTTTGGTTTGTGACTGTCAAGATATATTTTGTGGTAATATTTGCGTGTACCTTAAATTCTGTTATGTTGTCAGCATTTTCCATTCAATTAATTAGTTCTTTGGATTAATAAGAAATTTCTACACTTAAAAATTATTAGAAGAAGTATAGGATTAATAAGAAATTTCTACACTTAAAAATTATTAGAAGAAGTATAGGATTAATAAGAAATTTCTACACTTAAAAATTATTAGAAGAAGTATAGGATTAATAAGAAATTTCTACACTTAAAAATTATTAGAAGAAGTATAGGATTAATAAGAAATTTCTACACTTAAAAATTATTAGAAGAAGTATAGGATTAATAAGAAATTTCTACACTTAAAAATTATTAGAAGAAGTATAGGATTAATAAGAAATTTCTACACTTAAAAATTATTAGAAGAAGTATAGGATTAATAAGAAATTTCTACACTTAAAAATTATTAGAAGAAGTATAGGATTAATAAGAAATTTCTACACTTAAAAATTATTAGGGCCGGCCCGCAACACCGAGGGTTGCAATCCCGTTGCCGGTCCCCGGTCCGGTACGGGGGCAACACTGAGGGTTGCGATCCATTGCCAGACACGGAAAAAGACAAAAGACGAAAAAAAAAAAAAATTATTAGAAGAAGTATAGTTTAAGTGAAAGATGGATTTTACTCTGAAAACATATTGCTCTTCTAAATCATAGACAAGAATGACATCAGTATTGATCCATTAAAAATAAAAATTATATATTTTTCATATAATATAGCTCAAGTTTATTAAAGAGTATTTAGAAAACATAGAAAAGTTGAAAGAAGGAAAACAATCACCCGTGTGTAGTTCCACTACTCAAAGGAAACTGCATCATTATTTTGGTACATTTCTTCCAGTCTTTTCTGCAAAACATGGGTGGAAGTTTACTTTTTAAATAACGGATGCAGTTATATTAAATTGACTATATAGAATTTGGTACTAAACTTTGCCTGAGGTTTTCAAATGAGAGGAGGGTTACTGGAAACAAAATTACAGCTAGATAGGAAAAATAATTTCTATTGGTGTACAGTAGTTCTAGGCATCTATAATTAACAATAATTTATTGTATGCTGTCAAATGGCTGAGAGGAGCTTAAATGTTCTCATCACAAAGAAATGATACATTTTTACAATGACAAATTTGCTTACTACTCTGATTTGACCACTACACATTGTATACATGTACTGAAATATAACCCTGTACCCATAAATATATATAATCAATACATTTCAATTAAATAAAAGAAGAACAATTTGGGGACATAATCCCATGTCAGATATACAACTCATATTGAAATTAAAATTGAATACAACGTCTTTGTAAGATTGCCAAGTCTTTCCTATTCTTGTATATTCATTATTGTGGTCAGTTAAATCAGATTCTACTTGCTAGATGAGGAGTCTGCTCAGAACCCCTGTAATGAATAGAGTGTTGTGCTCGTTGGTGGTCCCAAAGTAGATTAACACATAGTTTTATGGAGAAGTGGCTCAATTCTTAGATTCTTAATTTTGATAAATATCTCAGTAAGGGAATAGTACACCTTCAAGTTTCTTTTTTTTAATAATAAGGGTTATGAGGGTGGAATATTTTCTTTGTCCCTGCTTATTTGAGAGCATTTGTATTTTTTTGGAATCCAGCCATTAGTCTTCAAAGTTGATGATGCTTCCATGTCTTTTGGCATTTACTGTTGTAGAGACGCAATCTATGGTTCCACTGATTACTGTTTCCTTGTAGGTCACCTGACTTTTTCTGCACATATGTATATATCTTTTTCTTTATTCTTATGTTTCAATTTTTTAAAGTGAGGAATTTCTAGTAATAGTTTTTTAATTGATAGTGCTTATTATAGGCTGAATCTTCTCAATTTGTCACAGTTTTTTTGAACTAAGAAGTGTATTTATTAAATTATGTTTTTAATTTGGCTTCTATTTTAGTTATTTTGGTTTCCTCATTAGGAAAAAGCTTTAATTCTTAGGTAGAATCTCCATTGGTAAGTGTCTGTCCTTTGCTTCATTGGGGAATAGCTTCCAAAGTTCATCTTTCACATTATGGATGCTGTTTTCTAAATGTTGGTTCTTCTTCTTAGTGACACAAATGAGGGTTTCGGTTCTTCCACTGGACTTTTACAGATAAACACAGATAGATATAGATGTTAAAGAAGAAGAACCAAGGTTGTTACTTCTTGTATAATCCTTTTCATCTATATCTATAGTTATCTATCTGTCTATCACCTTCCTATCTATCTTCAATTTATTTTCTCCTTATGTATTTCTGCCTTTTTTCATAGGAGACACACCTTTTGGAATCCCACTGCAAACAATAAAATGTATTTTAAGAATTCGTCTTGCTTTCTGTAGGAAATCATTCTCATAGGCTGGCTCTCCTAAACCCTTTCTGTGATCTAGAGTATCTCACACGATTGGACCCACCACTCCATCTTTGACATGATCTCCTATTCTTTTTCTTGTCACTGACTAAACTTCTGTTACACTGTATGGTTTTTTGTTCCTTAATGTGCCAGATATCTCCGGTCTTTGGTCCTTTGTTCTTTCTTTATCTTCCTTCTACCTAGAAATTGTTAGAATAGAGCCTGGTACATGGAAAGAACTCAATGAAAGTTGTTGAGCTAATGAATAAGTTCTTAAGATGAAGCTCACCTTTCCTTGTAAAAAATTCAGGTATAAACCCCATGTTGATTTTTTTTATTTGAACCCATTTTCTATCTTTGAATTAAGTCACATTTATGTAAATCTCGTAGTCTGTCAAGTGAATAATGCAGGCTATTTCTTCTGGATTCATGCTCTGTCCATTTGAGGATTGTTCAAATATCTTTTATTATCTATGTCTAGATAGGTAACTGACAGGCCCTGCCTCTAGCTCAATTCTCAGTGTTTAATGGGTTTTCCTGTAGTGTAGTTTTGTCCTCTTGAGAGGGATTATCTTCTGTCTCCACTGCCTGGCTTGCTGTGTTCTTGATGGTACAGGTGTCATTCATCACTTCAATATCCTGAATGTATTGCTGATAAGATTATTACTGGTTTAGCAACACTATAATTATGGGGTCTATACCTCTAAGAATAAAATCTGCCTTCATGACTTCTTCATTCCACATCCTACCTGTTGTTTCTGACAGTTGCAGCCTCTGACTGAGTATAGAGAGGGATTGAAAGGGCATTTTGACTACTCCAGAAAATGGGATGGTTGTCCGGTTTAATAGCTGGTACAGACTTATTCTCCATCCCTCCCTCCCTTCCACTCTCCCTCCTTTTCTCCCTGCCTTCCTTCTTCCTTTCTTGTCTATTGGCCTTATAGAAAGAGGAAATTCCTTCATTATTCTAAAATATACCAACATAAGGATTGTGAGCCATATGTTTTGATGACACTGGAAGTTTTTGGTCATTTTCTGAGACTGCATGGATATTTTATTCAAAAATTCGGTGACTGGATAGATGTTATTTTCACTGGAAACCAAACAATATTTCTAGTCTGTTGATTGCAATCTACCTAGTTCGATTAGTTTTGATTGGATAACCCAGGAATCAGAACAATATAATTAGCTGGATTAGAATGGCCTATGAGAGTTGAACTTGTGAATTGGATTGGCTTTCATATTTTATTCTTTCTGGCCAGTACTGACCACCACTATTCCAGAGACTTACCAAACTGTTTACTAATCTGTGTTATTTCCAATAATTCTGCTTTGTGTGATCTATTTTATTCAAGGAAGCATGTATCATACAAAAATACAGTCAAAGAAATAATATGAAATCAAAAGAAATTTACTTTCACATAAGATTTATCCTGTGAATGTTACGTATTATCTGTATAGTATGTATGTGTGCTAGTTATCACATAATGATATTTACAAATACTGCTTAAAACTGGATACATTAAAGTACTCTTCTTTATAGGTGCTGTCAGTGCTGAAGCATTCATTGCTGACTTTTAAACGACAAAGAGCCTTGGATATTTTGAAACTTTACTTCTTGTTTTCTTTGCAGTTCCTGGTCAAAGAGGTATGATTATGCTTTGACTTTTTGTTCTATGTAATTAATAATGTACATTTCTTACCATGCCAAGCCAACTGAAGTGTTTACAAGCTGCATTTAGTGATTATTGTTACTCCTCATTTATTATCAAACAAGATCAAGCAATATTTGTCAATCACTGACACCAATATTAAATGGTGTTTCAATGCATGACAAGTTAACCTAATTTTTTTTTTTTTCATTTTTTTAAGGGCTATTTAGATCAAGAAGGTAAACCTATGAAATTTGCAGAACTTGTGTCACATTTGCATGGTCATGAACCTTCAAATTTTGTTTTTGTCAGTTTTCTTATGAAAGGTCTTTTCCATAATCTCTGTCAGCCAACCTCAAAAGGTAAGCCTGAAGTTTTATACATGTAGTCCAAAAATAACAAAATATTTATATAATAGCCAAAACCTCAGAAATCTCCTCCTCCTCCTCCTCCTTCTTTTTACATATATATGTAATAAATAAATACTAATTAAATGTTCGGATTTGCAGATGCCAAAACAGTAGATACTGAAAGTCAGCTTATTTTTATTTCATCTCACTAACAAATACCATGTGAGGGATTTTTATGTATCATTTAACTAATTAGGAATATTTGCAGAAGAGGAAACTGAGACACATAGGGGGTAATAACTTTCCCATAGTCACACGGTTTTAATAAGTATCAGAGGCCAGTTAATTAAACTGAGCCACCTCTTAATGACTATAGTATCAATGCTCATATGTTATGAGGAATGGAGAGTAAGTCAAAATGACCAGAATTTAGAACTAGCATTGGGAAGTGTCAGTAGTTAAGTATGGGCGCTTAGTTTTTGGTGAGATTTTGAAACACCCTATCTAGATGGTAGGCCAAAAAACCTACTTTTTGGTTTTTTTTAAATTAGTCATTGAGAAGCCAGTGGAGATTTTGAGTAAGGGAGAGACATGATCATAGTAATGCTTTGGGAAGATTGACCATTCTCAAAGATGGCCTGAAGGGAGGAGAGTACAGTTAGGAAATCAGTTAATAAGCATTCTTGGGGGTGGAAACTAGGATGGATGTAGCAAGAAGGAAAAGGAAACCACAGAATACAAAACTGCCTGCCTTAACCAAAAAATAAATGTACACATAGTATGGCAGATACATATATTTACTAAAAAATTCTAGCTTGAAAGGAAGTGTAATATAAAAACAAATTTAAGCACAAAATACATGGGATCAACATTTTTCTTATTTACAATAATACTTTTTATTTGAATAGGCTCACAACAATTTTCTCAGGATGTCATGGAAAAGCTCATGTTAGTGTTGGCCAATTTGTTTGGAAGAAACTATTTTCCAGCAAAATTCCGAGATGCTAATTTAAGTTTTTCTCAATCAGAGGTGAGGTGTATTATACTTATAATGATATAATAATGATATTTATTAAATGTATACTACTGGAAAGGATTCAGTACCTTTACTTTTTTTAGGGTTAAATTAGTATGAATTGTTTCATTTGTTTTTATAATGTTAAGTTGATCTTTCTGTAATCAGAGTTCTATTTAATTTTTAATTCAAACATCATCCCCTACTGATCTAACATACAATTCTTATCTAAAGTTTATTGTTTTATTCATGCAAATTGCCTCATTCAGTGGCAACAGAGAAGATGTAGACAAGTAATCATTTAAATGAAACGACAGCCCTGTCGCTGAACCTATAGTTCTCTTGGGATTGTTGACACCTAGTGGTGGGAGTTCAAAGAAAGGACCTAGGTCATGAGCTCAGACATCCTCCTTAGACAATGTTGTGATGGCCACCTAAGAAAGAATCTCCTAACTCAAGGTTATTCAAGAGATTGAAAGCAGGAAAATTAGTTTTCAAATTTATTTGCAACGTTTTCTTTGTTCCTAATTTCTTATGAAAAACAAAGAAACAGCAACAAGACAATAACGAACAAACAAAAACCAAGAAAACCTTCATTAGAACCTGAGAATGTAGAAGAAGCTTGTTTCTATCAAAGAACTCTAATGAGTAGATAGCTAAAAGGAGACTAACGCTAATCTATACTTTCTGACCTCATAATGCCTCTGGATATACTTCCAGACCTATGCATCCAACTTTAGTTGCTCATATATATCTACTTTGCATTCCATTGAAACTATTATTTCTTTTTCTCATATGTACTCACATTTAAAAATATTTCAAGAGGAAACTTTGTATTTACTACTACTGTAAATGGAAGGCCAATGTCTCTCACTTTAAAAATAAGATAAGCATAACAATAGATGCAATTAATCATGTTAATGAAGCTACTCTCTCGTTGCTAAAAAAAACCCCAGAGATTATCAAGTTTTAGAGAAATGATAGAGGCTTACCACCTCCGGATTTTCTGTGGTTATCAGAAAGAATGAAAGGGAATTGGAAAGGGGACAGCTTTAATATTTAATATTATCTAATGCTCCATTTGTGCGTCATGCAAAATCATCTCATGTACCTCTAAATTTAAGTGTGTTACAATTTGGGAATAACTGCTCTGGATCAGTCAATGAGCAGAGATTTATTGAGCAATAACTTTGTGAGAACCCTTTGTAGAAAAATCAGAGCTAGAAAACATAGTTGCAGCCTTCAAAGAGCTTGCTCTCTAGCTGGGACTATATAGCATGCACCCTGGAGAAGGTGGCTCCCAGCATGGGGCTGTACATGATTAGCAGCACATGCTCCCCTAGCACAGTGTCCAGCAGCAGCACACGGTAGGCACATGAAAGGCATAGCAGTAAATATTTGTGGAAAACCAAATGAGGATCACATCACTTTACCCAACTGCAGAATTGCTTTCATTGACTTCTTTTCTGGTCTTTGCCCATCCACAGATAGAGGTAGCCCTGTGAAAATTGTCATACTATCTATTGTAAGGATTTGGTTAGGAACATTCTTTATTGTAACTGCACAGCATGGTTTTTGTAAGAATCCGCCTGAGAAATTCTTATCTGATTTTAGTACTGAAATAACTTTATCTCGTGGACATTGAGATATGTGAAAATGCTGAGGTTTATAACTTGTGGCCCATTTAAGGCTGTCTTTCTAGTTTTTCTTTCCTTTTTACCCCATTTTGATTTATATGATCTTATCATATTATCTTCATCCTTATAAAATACCTTTTTGTTAGAAAAGTGCAGGATATGAAAAAAAATAGTAATTGTAATAGAAGAAAACCAAGAACATTTCTAATGTCATAGGTCATTTCCAGCCCATACTAAAAAAATTTCTAGTCCTAATACTGAAAGAATTTGTGTTCAGGAATAAAATTTGGAAGCTGAGTTAGCTTGCAATACTACCTACTTCTTCACCTACTGTATGTGTAACTTAGAGCAAGTTTACCTCTGTGAGGGTTAGTTCCCTCATCTATAAAATATAGACAAAATTCCAACTTCATAGGGTTGTTCTTAAGATCAGCTGAGCTAACACAAACAGGTTCTTGGCACAGCACAGCATAATGATGGATAAATAATCAGAACTTTATAAAGAATTGATGCTACTATTACTACACTAACTTGTTACTTTCTCTCTAAATATGCCCTTCAAGTCCTTGACACGTACACAAGTTTAAGATCAGCTTAGGGTCTGTTTTTATTTAGATTATATTTTTGACTAGGTAGTGTCAAAGCAAATTTTAAAGATATTTGCAGTTATAAATGTTGGTTGGAATCAAAATGAGATTTTACTTTGATCTCACGAGTGAATAAAATAAGCAATGATTTCAATGAATGAACATTAGACTACAGAACTATGCTGCAATCTTTTCACCAAACAGTTTAATTTTAAAAATAAAAATAAAGAGATCTTTCTGAAAAGTATTTTGCCTATAGGTAATCCTTGGTGAACTCCCGGAGGATTTTAAAGCTGCTTTAAATGAGTATAACTTGAAAGTGACAAAGGACTTTGCCTCCTTCCTGCTGTTTGCTTCTAAGTTGGCGAATGTGAAAAATGAATCTCAACTTCCTTTGTCAAGAATCAGTAAGCAAATTTTAGTTCTATTCTGGAACAATTAAAAGAATAAATAATATTGGCTAGGAAAGCCACTGGATATTGTGTGCTTCAAAGCTGGTAGAAGGACTCATTACAGAGCAGCTGTATTAACCTGAATATTTAACCCCCAGAGAATGAATTAGCTCATCATAGAGTGTGGTAACGCCTTCTGTTTTCCAAGTAGAGAAACTTTATGATTACCAAACACTAATTGGGAAATGGAGGGGAAAAAAACAAGCCATTCATGAACTGTTTTGATTGAAGGTTACCTATATATTCAGGCTGGACAATCAGATCAGATAATGTGTCAGGGGGCGAAAATAAGCACTATTTCTGCCATTTCCCCCCCAGAGATAGTGTCACTTAGTGGTTACAAATGTAAACTCTGGAAGCAGAGTACCAAGGTTCAAATCCTGACTTTGCTACTTGGTAGGCATGTGATCTCATGCTAGTTACCTAATCTTTTTGTGTCTCAATTTTGTTACCTGTAATATGAAAGAAATAATATTACCTACTTTATAGAATTGTTGGAGGATCAGGTGTATTAATGTTTATAGATTCTAAAACAGTGCATGGCACATGGTACACACTCTATAAGTCTATTCTACCTAGTACGGTAGCCACATATTACGTCTCTATTTAAATCTAAATTAATTAAAAGTACAAAAAATTAAAAATTCAATTCTTCAGTTGCACTAGCTACATTTCAAGTGCTAGTGGCTTCCATTTTGGACATACCTTGCTCTTCAGATATGAGATAGAACATTTCTATCATTGCAGAGAGTTCTATTGGATATCATTGTTTGCTTCTATTATTTTTCCTTTTGTAGAAATTATACAGCAGAAAACTTCTAGGGGCAAATAAATGGAAAGAAGGAGCTGGGGTAAGAGTAAAGAGGAGAGCCATAAAGTAGTTTCTTTATCTTCTGTATCCTAATGTATTCTTAATTCAAGTAAAGGACAGGAGGTGAGCTTTTCAGATTCTCAAGACTTACTGGTGTAGGAAGCAGCATGAACAAAAGCAGACAGTAATGGTGAGGCAAGGAGAGCACCACAGAGAAAAGAAAATGGGTGTGTATGAATGTCTCTTCGTCATAAAAAGGAGCCAGGTCCAACTGCATGACCTGATGCCTTTGCAAGTTCAATGAGATGGTACCTAGAACATGGATGGAAAACATGTTTCATCTTTTATGTCAGCTCCAAGTGCACTGGTAGTAGCTGCCTGAACATCATATTCAGGAGGATTCTGAGGTTATGTTTGAGTTCCTAGGAAAAAGTAACAGATAATAAAAAGTAATGTTAATAAGCTAATAGCCAACATTGAACGATTACTCTGTGCCAAGAGGAGTTAATCATTTCATGTGCCATATCTCAGTCAGTCTTCATTAAAATGTCCTTCATAGGCAGACAAATGTCAACCCCTGTGGTATGACCTACAGTAAGTTTACCAAGGTTAACATTTGCATTGATTTTTAAATCCTGATTTGACCCAATACAAAATGGTCAGAATTTACAGGTAAAAAATGCGAAGACTCCCAGCTTGTGTCTCACTTGATGAGCTGCAAGGAAGGAAGAATAGCCATTTCACCATTTGTTTGTCTCTCCGGAAACACAGATGATGATTTGCTTCGACCAGAGATGATCAACCAGGTAAGTGAAGAATGGATTTTGTGGATAAACAGAGAGAGCGAAGGTACATTGTTGTGCAGCCTTGATGGGACATTAAACCTCAAATGCTCATGAATGTCCAGTGATACCCATTCTGTTATCCAAGAGAATGATGCCCTGGAGGCCAGTATGATTTCATTTTCTTTGGAATTGACCTGAGGAAACCTGTTCCTTTATGGAAAATTTCAGACATCACCTCTTTTCTCTCATTTTTGAAGACTCCAGTTTTGCTCTGGGAAGAGCAAAAGGAATTAGCTCACATTTTCCCAAAATTGATTATAGACTTTGTAATGCTCTCTCCACTCCAGAACACATGGATCTTCTAGGACAGTGGTCTCCACAGGGGGGCACAAAGACTAGAACTTCCTAGGAAGTTCTGGACAAAATATTAGGGTGATGGAAGATTTTAGCTTTAATTTGAACTATGAGAAATAAATTCAGCTTTGATGATATTTAATAGTATAAATTGACACTTGTGCCCTGACTACATTGATTCGTAGGTCAGAGACTCACATCTCACATAAATCAATGATCTTCAAATACTTTTGCTTATGTAACATCCAAAAGAACTTTAAAAAATCATAAATCTTCTTGCACAGTTTAGGTTGATATCTAAAATTCTTTTTAACCAAAGTTTAAATAGTTGCTAATGTTGTAATTTCAGGTTATCGTAAATATTGACATTTTAAAAGAACTGTTAAGTCTTTAAAAAAATTATTCAATAGAATATAAATATCAAAGCTATTTGACACCTATAGCAATAAAATAAAAAAGAACACATATGGTCCAACAACTTCTTCAAAGTTACAAATTCCACATTATTTATTTTTCTTCTTGAACTTGTATTTTCATTCCATTCGCCCCATAGTTTGATTTTACACACCCACTAGCAGAGTTTGCTGATTCCTCCTGATTCCATAAGATTAATTTGTCTAATGTGCCCAGAGCCAGGAAGGCTTGGTTTTTGTTTGTTTGCCTCTCTTCTTTTTTTCTTTCTCTCACATCTCCTCCCTCTCCTCAGCTTTCCTTCTCTTTGGAACCCAGAGGTTTGTGCTATTTTGCTGCATTCTCACCTGGGGGTGCAGAGAGACAGTAGCTGCATGACATTCCTTCCAAGGTCATTCTGTGTACCAATTAAGATTATCATGAAAATTCTACCTTAAAATCAGCTTCACTTTATTTTTCCTTAGTGAATCTTGCTAACATCTGGGAGTTGGGTGATTGAAATTGCCCTCGGTGTGCTGTAAGGGTCCCTGTTTCCCTCAGTGGGGCTGCTCCATCCCGAAGCATACTTAGAATGCCACTGCCCAGTGTGCGTGCAGCATCCCGCTCCCTCACCAGGATGGACCTATTTCCCTTGACTCCTATGGAGTCTAAATCTGCCCACCTCCTTCCACTTCATCTTTTGCAGAATGTACTTTAAGAAACTGGGATTTATAAAAAAGAAATCAAACTGCAAATGATTACCCTTTATACATAAATGGTGAATTATTTGGAAATGCCTTTCTTCAGGTCATTCTGCGCACAATCGGTGTCAATGGCACTCAGGCTCCCATGCTGTGGACACAGAAATTAGATAACCGAGGAAGAAGAATGCCACTAAATGCTTATGCACTCAATTTCTACAAACATGGCTGCTTGACAAGATTAGGCCAAACCAGTGGGTAGGTTTATATGTGTGTGTCTATAAAATGCATACATACATATTACATATCTACATTTTATTATTATGTATTTACATTATACGTTTATATACAAATTTATATCACAGTATATCATTTGTTATGTATTTATGCAAACATAAATTTATGTTAAAAATAGGAATTTTAATACAAAATATTTTTAAGAGTTTAAAGTACAAAATCAACCATGCAAACATACTAGATGTCTTTCTAGAAGACTAATCTCTGGTGATTAAAAACTCCAGTATTATTTTGGTGTTACTATCAAAATCTTGGTGCTTGACTATCTTTGGTGAACATAACTCTGAAGACAAAAATATTGGATATACTAAGAGCTCAAAAAGATATTTTTCATATGTTATTATACTACCTGTTCATTAAGAAATAACGTTGAATGATTTCCAGGAGTGTACCAAAGATTATTTTTATAAAGTAAATAAACTCATATTTATTTGTTCTCCACAATTGTGACTTGGAGGAAAAACATCTGGAACTTAGACTGTGAGGAAGTTAACTTAGCAGTTGTCCATTAGAAACTGACCTTTGTTTTAGTTATTTGCCAGAGAAATAACTTTCCAAAGCAGGGCAGAGGGATGAATACTTAGAATTCACATGAGAAGTGAAGAATTTGGTCATGGAAACTGGCAGGTAGAGATGGGGAAGGTCACGCTGTTAAACAGTGATTCAGAAATTCAATATGTGTTTTATATAAATTTTTTAATAATTCTTATTTAAATTAGTTTTTAAATGTTCTGCTATTCCTGAAAAATCCTGAGATATGTCTCAGGTTTTCTTATATCTAGTTCTTAGAAAAGACATTAGGAAGTAATAACCTCTTGTTTTCACTTTAATCTCTAGTCCCCATTGACCCTTCTAAGCTTTAATTTTATATATTTTTTCCTCCCCTTAAGATGGTTAGCTTCTCTGTTTATTAATATTTTGTGGTTTTGACACCTGTGCCTCTGAACTTCATTGTGATTAATAAAACAGGATGATTATCAACTGGGAATATATTGGCAGAAAAATTAAGCTATCATGAACAGATCTACTATTAAAGTTTGAGTTAATTCATTTATGCTTTTGTACTTTTTAATTAAGAATTTTGTTCTCTTTAGGAAGACTAGGGGGAAGCTTTTAAAGCTTTTAAAAGACTTTGCATTCAACATTCAGGATATCAGGTATGTTGTATGCTGAGTGTGATTTTATCAATTATTTAATGATAGGTTAGCAAATGTTGAGCTGTTCTTTTGTGTCAAGTTCATGATACTCGTGAAGGATTCATTGAGACACCATTAAGCCTCTAGCTTCCATGTAACTCAGGTACCCAAAGGCTCGGCAGGTCCTCTCCTCATGACCCTGTAGCACTGATTTTTTGTACTAGGAATAATCTCAAATCATTCGTCATGAAATTTCATTCAGATTGGAGCCTCAAAGCCATGTCCCCAAATTGCATAAATCTCCGGGCCTGACTATACTCAATTCTGCAAATGACAAATGGGACTCCAGAGGGCCACACCCTAAGGACACCACAAGGTCTCTTGTTTATATCCACTTCAAAGTGCTTACTCTTTCTAATACTCAGTGCTTTTCCAAGACTCACCTGACTCTGGCATCTCCTGTTGACTTCCTGGGTCCATCTGCCCCAATGCCCAATAGGGGCCCAAGCAAATACAAACTCTTGCAGGTTACTTCTGTCCCTAGACTCCGTTGGTCATCTAGTTTTTGTCTAGCTCCATCTTCCCTACCTCCAGTCCTTACCCACTTCAAGCGGGGTGTGTGTGTGTGGTTTCTCACTTAAAATAAATTCATACTAGTGAGGACATGTTTGTGATTTTCTTTGGGAAAGCTCTGGCTGCACTAGACAGCAGCCAGGCCTCGGGGAAGGGAGCGACTTCCATGCTAATCTTCTGCTTTAGATCATGCCCCTGCAGTGGTCTGGTTAGTTCTAGCCACCTGCTCAGTGCCTATACTGTGCCTGTAACTTGTCCCAGCCACTCTCTCAGAGAGTAGAAGTCTTAGGATGGCCCTGTTTTGCACACGTCGGGTGTCTCTATTTAGGGGATTCCATGAGTGGCTTGAAGTTACCAAAGCTACAACCTTTTTGAGCAGTTTGAGAAATTCCAGAGACTAAAAGTATTTCAAGAGTTGGGAAAAGTATTCATTTATTCATTTACCAACCATAATACTGTTAAGGTATTATCATGTTATAGGCATTCCTTCATGGAAGAAAATATTTTGTAGACAATGATGTGGTAAGAGCTATGATCGAGTTACATATGAAATACAATGATAACACAAATAACTTTATGATTAATGCTACTAGAATCAGAGAAAATGTAACAGAAGTAGTAATTTTCCAATCAGGTCTTAAAGGATAAGTGAGAATTCATTAAATATATTAAAAACTGGGAGTGGGGGGAGGTGGTAAGAGAGGATTTCAAGCACAGGAATAGTGTGTCCAAAGGTATAGAAATGTTAAAAATACTGATGCATCTGGGGTGGGCCCCAAGCTCATGAGGGTGGAATGTAGAATACAGAAGTTGTGATGGGGATGCGGGTAAATGCTGAATGGTGAGGCTAATGTCTTTAAAAGGTATTTGGCTGTACATGTGAAGGGTCTTACTTGTCATGTTATGGAAACTAGATTTAAAATGGTACGTAGTGGTGATGCAGGGAAAGTTTCTAAGAATGAGCATGACATAAATACAAATTTTTTTTTTTTTTTGTGACCGGTAAGGGGATCGTAACCCTTGGCCTGGTGTCGCCTGCACCTGCACTCAGCCAGTGAGCACACCAGCCATCCCTATATAGAATCCGAACCCGTGGCCTCGGCGCTCCCAGCGCTGCACTCTCCCGAGTGAGCCACGGGGTCGGCCCATAAATACATATTTTAAAGATATTATTCCAGCAGAGATATGTAGATTGACTGAAGAGATAGATGAACTGAAAGCAGGGAGCTAAGGTTGGAGGCTACAGCCATATTCCTGGTGAGAGAAAATGATGGTTTTAATTAAGGCATTGGCAGGAATAAATGGTGGGGATTAGAAAAATATTTAAGAGTGTAATTCATGTAATGTGACAAGAGATACTGGTGATAACTGGGATTTCAAATTTGGTTAACAACGACATCCGCAATACAGGATGATGATGGTTTAGGAACTGACAACTAAAAATAATATGATTTAGTATTTAAAATTATGGCATGTGGTGTCTGTAAGACATGCAGGGAGAAATATCCAGGGGTCAGATAGAATTATGTCTGCAAAACTCTGGAAAAATGTCAGACTTGGAGGTAAAGATGTGATTGTTCCTAGTATTCAGCTACTGGGGATTAATAAAAAATTGAAACTGTGCCCTGGTGTGAATAAGATGGAGTACGACAACAAAAAGAATGATAAACTGTCAAATCGCAATTACTTTCCAGGCTTGAATAACATGTGAGGCAGCGGAGAGACTCGTTTTTTTTCTGTCTCTCCTCTCTTGTTTACCCCAGCTTCTGGTTTCTTAGATATATGGGTAGGGACAAAAGTTTCTGTCACTTAACTGGTGATTGTGGGTTTCAAAAATAATAGTCACAGTACTAGAAAACCCAGAAGATGGCTTTAAGGAGATTAGTGGAGAGAAGAAAAGGAATCGAATAACTGCGGTTAGGATATAGAGACATGGAATTCTGTAGTCTTTTAAATTTACAGAGCACATTTAAAGGTAAGATAAACAGGAAATGCATGAAGGTATATCTCTTTTTCTTAAGATATATGATGTATTTTGTGAAGGTTTTACAGCGTAAATGTATACCTTATTCTGCCTGTTTTCTGTACATATTTCCATCTGGTGGATTTTGAGTAACTTCTGCCAACCTATTGAATGTTATCAAAATGTGGACTTATTATTATTATTTTTTATTGTACAGTGATTCCCTGAGTGAACTATGTGAAGATGAGCATGACAATGTGGTCTTAGCATTTAAACAATTGAGTCAAAGCTTCTATGAAAAACTTCAACAAGTCCAAACTCAAATGCATCCACATCACTTGAGATAACACCATGGAAAATTCTCAAGTTTAATTATGTGGTTTTCATTCCTTTGCTGGAAAGATATATTTGAGCCAATGCAATGGAATGGAAAGAGGATTCATCTTGGAGTAAAACAGAATTGGATTTAAATATTAACTCTGCTGTTTTCTAGCTGCATGACCTTTGATACATAATATATCTGAGCCTTAATTTTCTTTTTGGCAAAATGGGAGTAAAAATGCATACCTCTGATTGTTTTGAGGATTAAATGAGATAATGTATGTAACGTGATTGGGAGAGAGTGGTGACTCAATAAATGATAGTTTTGTTTTTTGTAGTTAAAGTTAATGGATAGTAGGATTTTAGTTGCACATTGTCAAACGTTGGGGGTATGTCCACAGCCTACTGGATTTTCTTAAATTAATGGTCCACAAACCCCCAAAGACCCAAATCAATTCTAAACAATTTAGTTATATAAGAAGATTTCTGAGATTACAAGAAAACCACTGCTATGGACTGAATGTTTGTGTCCCCCCAAATGTATGTGTTGAAATCTTAACCCCCAATGTGATGGTGTTAGGAGGTGGAGTTTTTTGGGAGGTGATTAGGTCATGAGGGCAAAACCCTCATGAGTGGGATTAGTTCCCTTATACTTAGAAACAGGAGAGTTTGCTCCCCTCCCTCTGCTATTTGAGGATACAGTGAGAAGATGGCCATCTGCAAAAAGCCAGGAAGAGTGCCTTCATAAGAAACAAATCTGCTGGCACCTTAATATTGGGCTTCCCAACCTCCAGAACTGTGTGAAATAAATATTTATTGTTTAAGCCACACAGTCTTATGGTATTCTATTTTAGCAGTCCAGACTGACTAAAACAATCTTAGTGTGGTTATAAAGTACTTTCATGGTGAAAATAACATGCTGATTCAACTGTTTTTCCAATAGCATTGATAGATTTTGTCTGAGTCCCCTATACTTTCTTTTTTTTTTTTTTTGTCTTTTGTCTTTTTCCGTGTCTGGCAAAGGATCGCAACCCTCAGTGTTGCCCCCATACCGGACCGGGGACCGGCAATGGGATTGCAACCCTCGGTGTTGCCCCCGTGCCTCGCTCAGCCAGTGAGTGGGAACCGGTCTGTATGTGGGATCTGAACCCTCGGGCGGGAGCACCGCCGCGCTTCCCAAGCGGCACACTTATCCAGTGTGCCACCGGGCCGGCCCCCCCTATACTTTCTTACTTGATCTTCTCAAGTGATGAGGACCAACCTCTTCTACTTTTTGGCAATGGTTAAGGATTTTTATGTGACTGAGGAAAAAATCTTCACCCTGTGAAGCTGAAATACAGAATTCAATATGGAATTCAGAGTATTTTCTCCTCAATAGCATACATAAAACATCCCCCGCCCAAAAAGAGCAAACAACAACCACAATAAAAACAGACAAATATTTAGCCTATTAAGGCATAATAAATGAATACAGTACTCTGAAGGAGAAAAAAATCTCTCCAATGAGCTTAATCAGCAACTGATTTAGAAATCGAAGAATGTGATTCTTAAAGCTATTAAAATTGTTTCAACTAGCAAACTTCAGGTGAATTTTTTTATGTAAATTAGATCTTGGGTATAAGTTCTGTGATGCTTTAAGAAAATAGCTAATAACTTGATATTATTGTACTTGTATGTAATAAGTGAGTGGGCAGCAATAATTAAATAAAATGTTAAGTTTGTTTACTGTTGGGCTCCTTGTGTTAAATCTGTTTTTCAGTCAATCCATTTGCAGACATGTATGCATTAGGCATTTTGCTTTCATTGTTCTCTATCTTATTGTAGCTCGGGTAATAGACTACAAAATCTGTGTTAGACCCAGATCTTGAACATAGGATGTTTCAATCTCAGGGTAAAACATATAACCTCTTGTATCATCCAAAATCTCTTATCAGGAAACCATCTATAAAATAAGATTACTTATAGATAGATTACATTGGCTTAGAAAAACACCAGTGTTTCACTTTGTCTAGAAATGGAAAAACCTCTATTCTATAGAACTAACTGATAATTAACTTATATTAGACATGTGCCAAAATCAGGTATGACTATTTTCTTTGAACTAATCCTAAATTTTTATAAGAACATAGTAACGAATATGGTGGATATTAATCCAACCAAATCAATAATCACTTTAAATGTCAATGCTCTAAGTACAATTAAAGGACAGAGTTTGTCAGAATGAATAAAAAAAACAAGAACCAACACTCCTTTGTTTACAAAAAACCTACTTTAAATATAAAGACACATATAAATTAAAAGTAAATAAATGGGGCTTCCATTTACTACATGTAAGGAGCTTGGAAGCTGCTGCTCCATCCTAACAACAGGTACAAAGTTTAACAAACGGAGGAACTGAAAACTCTTCTTGAACTCCTAAGAGAAGTGAGATCAAGGGGCAAATCACTGCTCCCTAAATTGGAGAGAAAGAAAGATGGATACAGGGAATAAGAGCACGCTGGAGCAAAAACCTCCATGAGAAACAGTGATAGAAATAGGAAACCTGAACTGTTATTGATGAATTGCTGAAGTCTAGGTGTGGACAACTCTAAAAGTTAAAAACTCCAGGATTGGGGACCATGTTTTGTGAGCTTCACTAGGGTCTTATAGTAAATATCAGAGAAAAATCTGGGGCGGGGGAGGGGGGAAGAATCATTTTGAAATACACCAGAGTATTCTGTTCTTCGTAACAAGTCTGCCCACATGAGAAGGTAGTTAACCAGACTTAACCTTGCTGGAGTTTTATCAGAGCCTAAGTAACCTGCGGGAAGGAAAACATCCTACTGCAGACCACTGTAGGCATCCTGTCTCACTTAAGGGGAGAGAAAAAAAACTGAAACAAACAAACAAACAAAAAAACCCATAGTCCAGAGGCATAGACTCACTAAAAGACCAAGGTCTAATCATAGCTCTTTGGAACACTTCCCCTCTACCCACGCCTTACTATCACATTGCCACCTATTTATAGTAGCTCCTTTTACCCAGTACATGTCTGGCTATCAAGAAAACAATTACAAGGCATACTAAAAACACAGTTTGAAGAGACAGTAAGCATTAGAACAAGACTCCATATGGCAGGGATGATGGAATTATTAGAATGGGAATTTAAAACAACTACAATTAATATGTGAAGGTCTCTAATGATAAAGCAGACAGCATATGTGAACAGATGGGCAATGTAAGCAGAGAGATAGAAATCCTAAAAAAGTATTAAAACTAAACACTGGAAATCAAAAACACTGTAACTTAAATGAAGAATGCCTTTGATGGGATTATTAACAGACTGGACATGGCTGAAGAAAGACTCTGAGTTTGAGGATAAGTCAATAAAAACCTTCAAAACTGAAGAGCAAAGAGAACAAAGACTAAAAAACAAAAGCAAAAAACAGAATACAATATCCAAGAATAGTGGAAACATATACGTAATGGGGATATCTGAAGGAGAAAAGAGAAAGAAACAGAAGAAATATTGGAAATAATAATGACAGAATTTCCCCAAACTAATGTCAGACACCAAACCACAGATTCAGGAAACTCGGAGAACACCAAGCAGTATAAATGTCAAAAAAGAAAGAAAGAAAACAAAAAATGAAAAACAACCCAACTACACCTAGCTATTATCATTTTCAAACTATAGAAAATCAAAGATAAAGAAAAAAAATCCTGAAAGACAGAAGAAAAAAAAATACTTTACTTATAGAAGAACAAATATAAGATTACATCCGACTTCTCAAAAACCAAAAAAACAGTGGAATGAAATATTTAAAAGTGTTGAGAGGAAAAAAGCCACCAAACTAAAATTCTGCACCCTAAGAAATTATCCTTTGAAAGTGAAGGAAAAATAAAGAGTTTCTCAGACAAACAAAAATTGAGACAATTTGTTGCCAGTAGATCTGACTTGCAAGAAACGTTAAGAGAAATTCTTTAGACAGAAGGAAAATAATATAGATCTCAAAGTCAGATCTCCATAAAGAAAGGAAAAGCATTAAAGAAGGAATAAGTAAAGAAAAATTTTAAACTTTTATTTTTCTTATTCTTAATTGATCTAACAGATAACAGTTTTTTCAAAATAATAATAGCAATAATGAGTTTAATATATGTGCCTAGGTATATATCTTATGTATGCTTGTATAGAAGTGAAGTGAATGACAATAATGACATAAGAGACAGAGGGAGGAATTAGGATTATTTTGTTATTATAAGACACTCATGCTACCCATGAAGCAGTATAATGTTATTTTAAAGTGGGTTTGGATTAGTTGTAAATGTATATTTCAAACTGTAGGGCAACCGCTAAAAATATAGTAAAAAAAAAAAAGAAGTATAACATGCTAAGAAAGGAGAGAAAATAGAATCATATATAAAATGTTCAGTTAAAATCATGAAAGGCAGAAAAAGAGTAGAAGACAAAAATAGAAACAAAGAACAAAGGCAACAAACAGAAGTCAGTAACAAACATAATAGATATTAATCCAACTATAACAATCATCACTTTGAACACCAATGATCTAAATTGCACCAATAATAGAGATTGTCAGAGTATACAAAAATACGAGACACAACCATTTCTGGTCTATAAAAACCCACTTTAAGTATAAACATATAGATTAAAAGTAAATAGATGTAGACAAATATAACATGCCAACATTAATTTTTAAAAAAACAGGAATAGCTATATTAATTTCAGGCAGAGCAGACTTCAAAACAAGGAAAGTTATCAGGGATAAAAAGGGGTATTATATCATTAAAAAGGGATAAATTCTCCAAGTAGACATAACAATTCTTGATGTGTGTACAGCTAACAGCAGAGCCTCAAAATATGTGAGGCAAAAACTGATAGAAGGGCAAGGAGAAACAGATGAATCCACTGTTATAGCTGGTGACTGCAGCACCCCTCTATCATAAATGAACAGATCCAGCAGGCAGAAAATCAGTAAGGGCGTAGTTAAAGTCAATAAAACTGTCAGTCAATTAAATATAATTGACATCTACTGACTACTTCATACATTATACATTATTGCAGGATACATATTAATTATTCTCAAGTTCACATGAAACATTTCCCAAGACAGGCCACATTCTGGACTATAAAATACACCTTACAAAATTTAAAAAGAATAGAAACAATAAAATCTGTGCTTTTGAATCACAGTAGAATTAAACTAGAAATCTGTATCAGGAAAATTACTGGTAAGTCCTGAGATAATGGCGATCAAACAACATACTTCCAAATAACACATAGATTGAAGGTGAAATCTAAAGAGAAATTAAAAATATTTTGAACTCAAGAAAGTGAAAACAGAACTTATTAAAATGTGTGGGATGCAGCAAAAGCAGTGCTTAGAGGAAATTTATAGCATTAAATGCATATTTTAGAAAAAAAGAAAGATCTAAAATCAATTGTCTAAACTTCCACCTTAGGACACTAGAAAAAGAAGAACAAATTAAATCCAAAGGAAGTAGAAGAGAAATGATTAAAAATTACAGCAGAGATCAATGAAATTGAAAATGGGAAAACAGTAGAAAAAATCAACAAAACCAAAAGCTGGTTCTTTGACAAGATCAACAAAATCAATAACCCTCTAAACAGGCTAATGAAGAAAAAAAGAGAGAGAACATAATAACTAATATTAGAAATGAAAGAGAGGACATCACTGTAGATCCCACTGGTATTAACAGGATAACAGAGGAATACTATGAACAACTCTATGCCCACAAGTTTGATAACCTAGATAAAATGGATTCTTTGAAAGACAGTCTTAGAAAACTCAGCATATGAATGGGCTTTTTTTATTAAATGAATTAAATTAATAGTTTTCTGAAAAAGAGAGCACCAGGCCCAGATGGGTTCATTGGTGAATTCTACCAAACATTTAAAGGATAGATTATGCCAATTCTCTACAATCTTTTGTAGAAGATAGAAGCAGAA